CGCTTGCCTGGCACAGCCCTGGATCCTCCTGGCACAACCCCCACCTCCCACCATGCGCAGGGAAGAGCCTGGGCTGTGCTGGGTGTGCGGCAGCAGCACTGGGAGTGGGGCTATGGCAAAATTTGGGGTGGCTGCAGCCCCCTCCATAGCCCCCAACAAGAAGAGCCTGGTGCAGCCCTGGCTCCAGACTGCAGCTACAGACCAGCCATCCCACCCCGCACAGATCTGGGGGCACGCCCCCTCCCTTGTCCGAGCCACAGCCCTGTCCCATGCTCTGCCCCACCCTGGCTGGGCATCACCTGCCCCTGCCCCCTCCCTTCCTCACCATGGGAGGGTGTTGATCTGCCCCTGCCCCCACATCCCTTCCTTCCTCCCTCCCTTTCCACCACAACAGACTTACCAGCTGCACACAGGTCTCCATGCTGCTGGGCTGTGCTCCTCATTGCCTGTGTTCTGCGCTGCAGCTGCATGCACACACGGGCATTTACTGGCCAAATTACTACCCATATCAGGCCCTTTTCCGATACAGCTACTTTTCTTTATATCGGTACCGATCTGATATTGAACTGAGTGTTCGTGCACTTCTAGCATACACACATTCATTCAATTTCTCCCAGGGGAAATATGCATCCCTGGGAAAAAGATCTTCCAGGTATCAACCTGGCAGGTCTCCCTTATGAGAGAAACTCTCTCAGACAATGAACGTCTGTACACTCCCCTCTTCAACTGGTCTGGGAAAGACTCCCTGTGCCAGTATGGAGCATGGGTGGGGGGACTTTGCCCCACTGTTCCAATCACTGCTAGAACTCTGGGAGCAGACTACAGCACTTGGTGAAGCTCCCTGCCAACTCCCCAGAGTGGGGATCTCTATTACTTACACTCCACCCAGGCCAGGAGAGACCAGGATCACCGGAGTCTGGGGAAGGCACAAAGAGCAGGGGAGAGGAGGCAGCTGCAGGCTGAACACCTGTAGTGCTCCCTCTCCCAAAAAGAATTTCTGGTAGTGGAAATTTCTCAGAACCTTCCACCACTAGAAACAAACGCCTGTTTGAAGCCTGAGTCAGTGACAGAAGTGGGACTACAACAGATTTCTAGCTAACCTAACAAATTAACCCAATTTTGCACAATTTTCAGTGCCTAAAAAAGAGAGATTATAAAGAAATGTCCCAGTTCTGTTATATCTGTTGAGACTCCAAAAACTGCAACACATCAAACAATACCTCTCACTTTGCTGCATCTTCCAAGACCAATCTGCTGTTTCACATGATTAATGACATTGTAAACAGGGTAACATTTTCAAAAGGGCCTTTGGCACATTAATAGTCTAAACACCATTAGAGTCCCCCTGACTTTCAGCACTACTTCTCACTTTTGAAAATACCAATAAGGCCCCTGGCATATGTTTATTTAATGGCATGATGGGATTTGATCCCCAATCCCAAAAATCATGCCTCCAACCACATCACACATTCATGGCAGGAGGTTTGATTTTGAGATTAAGGATCAGATCCCAGTTGCATCATTACTACATGTCTGTATAGGGGGAACCCAGGATCATACCTTTGGGATCCTCCTGCACTGATAACTTGGAAGCTGGGTGCCTGCCTGTGGGGATTTAAAACCCTGTGGTGGGCAGCTCTGATGGGGCTGCTAAGTGGGGGGCATAAAAGTCTCCTGGCAGGTTTAAACTCCCCAATGAGGAAGGCCTTTCAGTTACCCCTGTTTCCAGCTCTGGTGTGTCGATGTACCACATGTTCAATAAAGCACCATACAAAACATCCATAAAAATATTCTAGGTTATTTGTGAAACATTTTTATGGCTGGTTTGTCATTTTATAGTGCCTTAAACTGGTTGGACGTGCAACATTCAATTGGATGGAGGGTGGGTGCCACCCGAATGGGGGGTGCTATTCAATGCCCATATAGTTGGAAGGCAGTGGGCTGTTGAAAACACTGTCCTGTCCATGCAGTGGGGGATCTCAGGTGCCCACCCTCATAGTGTATGGCTGATGTGACGTGTAACCCCTGACTGTGGGACACTGGACAGCCCTGATCTGGACCACAGAAGTTCCATATGCTGGATAACATCTTAAAGTAAGATTCACTATCAAGAATGTGCATAATTCAGGTTGAACTATGATGGTGGAACATGCCCTTTAAGTTAAAGGAGATGTCTCCAATTTGATATATTTTCTTATTCCCACAACAGGAAAGAAAAAGGATAATTTCTTGGGCTAAGGCAGAGAATAGTCTACTTCCTTAAAAGAAATGATACCAAGAATGAAATACACCGGGGGCGTAGTATTACAAAATGAGATGCATCTAAAAAAAGTTGAAGAACAAAACTAAGTATTAGTGTCAAAACATCAGAGTAAACAAAAATACCTCATGAAAAATAATTTTAAACAATTATTAAAATAAACTAATATATGAAAGGCAACCAGTGTACGTACACACAACATTTTGAGAACAATCATTTTTCAAAGGTAGCTTTAAAATTAATTTTTAAATCAAATTTTGGTAATTGCTCATTGAATAAGTTTGCAATACACCAAAACTGCTGCTCAAGAAAGTCACATAAGCGCATAGCAGAGTTCAACAGAATTGCTGAAGTATTGTTTCTTAGACTGAAAAACAAAATCTCTGGATTAACATGAGCAGATTCTCTAGTTCTCAAAACGTTCAGTGACTGATGTGCTAAAAACTGGCATTAACAATAGTCAAGCTCAAATATTTTTTTGTAAATGCTTTAATTATATAGGTGCAGGCATTAGGAAATCACAATCACATAACTCAACTGAGGTAGTATTCTACATGGGTAGATAACTGCCTGCTAATAAGCAATAACAGCTTGCAATGTGTATCCTTTGCACTTATGCAGCTCTATCAGAGAACATCATTGTGCTTTATGTTAGTGTTCAGTGCTGTCATCATGGAGGAAAAATGCACATATACTTTTATTTTGGATAACATCTAGAGACAAAGTTTCCTGTGGGAGTGCATATCTGATTAGTTTCCCATTAGATTTTTTTTCCTCATTTTTTGGTGACAGATCAAAATGTTCAGTCAGGCTCTTTGCAGCTCTTTTCCATAGCTTTCTCTTCTTTGTTAGTGCCAGTTGTTCAAAATTATGCAAATGAGAAATGAAAATGGAAGGTGCTAACCAGTTGTTGCCTGTGATTTCCTGTGCCCATGCTCATTCACTTCCTCTTCTGCACTGGTAGAGTATTGTCTTGAGATTCTTTTGCCTCCACTGGCTGGCTTCTCACAGTCAAGATCTGTATCTCTTTTGTTATAATCTCCTGTTTGCTCTGGCAGGGAAAATGTATTAATGTTTATCCCCTAAACCTTACATATAAGCCATATAAGGAAGGTAATGGTTAATTAAAAGATAATTTTATTCATCTACCCCATGCAACAAATCATTCAGACTATAATATACTATGTATCTGATGTTTGCTTGAACTGCATGTGTTGATATTACAGAATTCTGCAGCCAATGTTCGGGAAATGTAATGAAAAGAGGTGTGTTATGAGATTGTTCCAAACAGCATAGTTGCATTCATTAACATAAGGATGATTTATAATCAAGCTCCAGTCTAATTTCTACTTTCCTTCCTCAGTAGATAAAATCATGTTACCAGCACTTCAGGCAGATTTGCAGTGATTTACCAGTTGAAGGAACAGGCTGAGCAGGCTAGTTACAAAGGAGGCAGAGAAAGAAACAGACAGGAACAATTGGGAGGAACAAGTATGGTACCAGCAATAAAGGAAAAAAGATGACTTGATTAAGAATCCTGGCTACCCCCACACCTCCCAAAAACAAACAAAAACTGGGAAGTATTTATTACATTCCCTAGATAAATGGAACTTGCTAATTTCTGGTCTACCTCCTCAGGCAGATGCAGCATTGTCATAGGGACCGGGAAATCCTATTTTTGCAATTATAAACTATTTTTTAACTGTTTTCTCAGCATGTAAGAGCAGCAAACTGCCTGCTAGGTCAGAGCTTCTATGGAATGAAGATCTGAGAGAGCACATCACCCTTCATCAACCAGAATTTGTATGCAATGAACAAATTTTAAAACAGGCAGATCATCCATACCTATTAATGTGTGCAATGATCAGCTACAAAAACTTGCCAGCTCTTTTAAGAAAACAACACTTTACTTCAATATTTACAATTGTGTGGTCATTCCCCATACAGAAATAAGTAAATATCAGGGTAACTTTATCTATTCATATAAAGCAAAGCTGCTAAGAACTGCAAGAAAGGTTGCTGCATCGCTCATTTTCTGTTTTTGTTTTCTCCATATGGACGTAATCCAAGGTTGAGGTCAGTGACACCAAGTGACTTCATGAGTCTATTCTAGGACTATCAAATTGGTCAACCTGAAGCTTGTTCTTTTGGGGAAGCAGCATCTTACAGCTGCATGGAGCTGCATATTATAGGTAGCAGAATTCCATCCCCAGCACCTTCTCTCTCCCTATCATACCCTACTGGTGGTGAAAGGCTTTGCAAAAGACAGAGTATGCTGACTTGATGAATATTTGTCATATGCCTTGGAATGTGGTATCCTATTGCTAATTTTATAGGCAGTAAAGAGGTCTCTGTTGCACACTGATGAGAAACTGGCCAAAAAATGCAGGTTAGTATTTATCAGAAATGTATGCATCAAGTCTGGATTTATCAGGAAGTAATGCAGTGTAATGCAGTGTCTCTACCTTGACATGCCAGGAAGACCTATGTTCATAATTTCAGGATTACAGATTTTAGAGACCCGGGTCCCATGCCTCAAATCCAGCCAAGCTATTTCAGGACCCAATGGGGTTTGGGCTGCGAGAGAACTTGGCTCTTTCAGCAGGGACCCCTTAAACCCTGATACTTGAGACATAGGAAGACATCATTGCAGGGCTATAATGTAATGTAATGTAATGTAATGTAATATAATACAATATAATATAGTAGGCAGCCAAGCTGGGGCCAGCCACATGGCAATAAGTAGCCAGGGAAACCCACAAAGGGTTAAAAAAGCAGCAAAGGAGGAGGCAGTCAAGGCAGCTCAGGCCTTAACCACAACACCTGAGAGCTGGGTAAGGGCTTAGCCACTGACCTGGAAGGGCAGAGCCCCAGCCTATTAAAAGCCTGGCTCCTGAGCCAGAACGGGTAGTCTGGCCACGACTGCCACTGAGAACCGAACTCCTGCAGGCCTGGGGTGCAACAGGGGCAACGCTGTTGCATCTGGGGAAGCTGCAAACGGAAGCTGCAAGCTACTGGGTGGAAGTTTGCCAGGACCCCAGGGAGACCCAGAAGGAATTATGAGTGATCTGCAGCTGGCAGAGAACTGGAGGACTGGGTGTGACTGATAGGGGTGGTAAGGAGGCCACAGGGGTGCCTGAGGGGCACCCAGCATAAAGCCCTACAAGGGTCAGGGGCACAGGGGCTGTAGCAGGGAGAAGGCAGCCTTGCTTGGGCCAGGAGGACCACAGGGGCTGGCCTGAACTGTGAGTAGTTTTGTCCTGGGCCAGGGATGCCAGGAGGCTGGAACAGACTGTGAGCAGCCTTGTCCAGGCCAGGGGCACCAGGGGGCTAGGACAATGCAAGACAGGGCCTGGGGCCTAGAGAATGAAGTAAAGGCAAGGGCTGAGACTGAGAAACCAGGTCCATGACAAATGGAGCAGGGCTGGAGGTCTGCAGCCAGGACAATGATGGGCTAATGACAAGAGGTCTGAGGCCCCTACAGAGGTAAAATAACATCTGCGAGGCATGGGTGTTGCAAGACAAGAAGCCACAAATTTAGCCCTTGAGGCAGTTAGGGCCAGTGGGGTCAGAGTCCCAAGGCCAAGGAACTGTAGGTGTCCAGGCTGGAGCCCCAAGGCTGAGGGACTGTAGGTGGCCAGGCCAGAACATAAATTAAGTGAGCCAAGGTGAACTGGGGAGAAGAACTGAGCATAGAAAGCACCCAAAGCTCCCCAGCCTCTGAGGGCAGCCTCCCCTCACCATCTTTAACATCAAGGCATGGCAGGTAGGGCAGCAGGGCAAGTCCCTGAGGGGCTGGAGTGAGAGCAGGGCAAGACAAAGGCAGCCATTAGAGGGTGTCATGACTGCTCTTGAGGCATGTCCTCTTACAGCTCTATATTAGTTTTGCAATCCCTCCACTTCTAAAGCTTCAGATAGCTAGTTTGCCTGTGGAGCAAGTTACTGCTGTCCCCTTTGCAGCTATTATGCTAGTCAGGTATTGCTGCAGCAGAGCATCCCCTGCACAAACCCTCAGCACACCCCCAAAACAGAAGCAGCTCATAGTGGGAGCTATGCCAGCTTTGCACAACTCAAGGACTCTCCAGCTGCTCCATTAGCAGAATGCAATGATTTCTCTTCTTGACCAGCAGTACAGTATCACCTTTAGTTCACAAGTCAACAAAGCTATGATTTTCAACAAAAAACCAACAATATCTGAACAACCTGGATGATATTGCAGCCCATGAGAAATGGAGGGGAGAGGTGATTTTAAAGCTACCTTTGTGCCCTTCTAGGGCTGCAGCCAGCCCTGGCTTAAATTACAAAGCCCTGGAGGCATACAATATGGCAGCTTACCTGGGTGACAGCACTGCTTGCTTTTTCCTTATATCCCCAAACCCTCTCTCTCAGGTATTGTGTGGCTGTCCTTTGAAGAAAACTGCATTCTCTTCTCTTCCCTATATGGAACTAAGGCTTTATATTTAGCAGTGGGAGCCAGAGCAGGCATGAGAGTCTCACCCACTGACTTTTACCCAGTTTCAAACTCTCTGGCTGCATAACCTCAGTGAAGATAATGCAGGTTAGGTTCACCTTACTGTACACAGCTGTGTTTCTAGAAATCTCTTCCCCCTGTACTCCCAACTCTAAGAAATCTACTTCCTCAAAATGCAAACTCAGGAGAGAGAAAATGCACCAGTAGGGGTAGACATTCCAAGTGTGTGTGAAGAAAGGCAATGAGAAGAAAGAAGCTTATTGTATGTCCTTTGTCTATGCAACCCAAAATATAGAGCATGAGTGTGATATAAAGTTTGTACAGTGCAATGATCCCAGAAGACAGGAACAGAGTTACAAGGCAAACTGGAACAAGCTGCCCAAAAGAATAAATTTCACCCTCTGCCCTACCAGATGGCCAAGGCAGCTGCATTTAGCCTTTTTTGTCACCAGTGCGTATCAACAGCCTGCTTTTAATTGAACAAAATATAATGGAAATGATACCACTGCCCATTAATGTTTATCTGGTAATTGTTTCAGTGAAAGTACTACATTACATTATTATTGACAGTAGATGTATATATCTTTGAACAACCAGCATGAACCAAAGGTTGCTGATCTCTGAGTTATCACACACCCTTTTTTTGCTCTCTACCCTGAGTACAAAGAAACTTCCTCCATCCCAGAAAAGGCAAGATAGAAATCTGGAAATTATGAATAGCTGATTTTTAAAAAGCAGCATTAGTACGGTTTATGCCAGGAGAAGGACTGTGGAACATTGTTTATATTGACAGTCTTACCTTCTTGGGAGAGGGATCTGATTGTGGGCTGGGGGCTGCTCTGACCATCTTTTTCTTTATCAGAAGTAATTTTCTTTAGCACAGGTGGAAGCAGAGCAACTTTAGGGGAACCTGGGCCAGATGGAGACTCTGGGAGGTCTTCTGTGGATACACCAAACACATACACAGATACAGTCTTGCTAAATTGCTTCCAAGAATACTACCCAGGCAGCAGGCACATGTAATGCATAATTTAAAAAGAGCACAATGTGCAACTAACAACACCATGGATACATTCAATGTCTTGGCTATGCTAGAGTTTTTAGGAAGCAAAAAAAGTAATTCAGGAATTTTTACAAATTTAAGAGAACACACGATCACACTCATCAGTTTTGTAAGAATTTTGGTAGATTAAAGATTTTAAAAAATGGAGGTATAAATTAGTTGAGCTAATATACAGTCATTACTTGTTTGACTGTAACTGTTATTATCATGTAAACCATACTTCTATTGTGTTGACCTACACATGCGGCACATATAAATATGTGATGAGACCAACACAATTTGCAGTCAGGCTATACAGAAAAGGAAACACAATTAAGAACGAAAGGTTAAAGAAAATTATTCCAATTTAAAAAAAATAATTTTTTCCACATTGCTATTTCTGGTAATCCTATTAATGTGGCAAATCAATCAAGCTAGACTTCTTATTCATAACTCTAATTTCTAAAAAAATAAAATAACACGTCATAAATAGTCTGGCAGAACGTTATATTTTAAGGTACAAATACTGGTAGGAATTACTGTAGCTTCCATAATACATAATCCTTTTCCAAAAATAAATATTGTCCCTACTTTCAACTTGAAGAAAACAGGCATTTTTAAATCCTTTATTAAGGATCTGGCTAAACATGACAGACTGTCCCTTATTGGTCAAATGTGTATTATGCATGTCAAATAAACACTTGATCAGAGCCAAAAGGCTGAGAAGGTAACGTAGACTCTATGCAGACCCCTCTATGCAGACTAGTACATTTTACTTATCTTGAAATATGCTGCTTGCAAAAGAAGAACCATCTTTTGAATGGTAGTAGCCTGTTACTATAATGGACCATTTAAAGTCATTAGACTTACACAAGAACCAATAACTGAACAGGACTTTATCCAAATGTATCCCGGAAAAGAATAGGAATTTCTCTACGCTAAAATTTCTTAGGGAATTTCATACCAGTGGTCCAACTATACTGATGACAGAAACAATCGAAGCCTGAAAAGAGGTTTATAGGTTGTAGCCATGTTGGTTTAAGGACACAGGCAGACAAGATTCTTTAGGTATGCATGATGAAGGGTATTTATACCCAAAAGCTGCTAAGAAGAATTTTTCCAGCTATTTGAGTTGGTCTAATGAAAGATACCAAAGAACCTTGTCTGAATGCAAGGAGAACTCTGATAACCCATTTTTTTCCATCATGGTTACTTCTTGTGGGATGCTAGTCTGCAATAACACTATTATTTTTATCATTACCTGAGGAGCTGAACCAGTGGAAACAGTGATGAACAGATGCAACCTAAAACATATGCCTTTGTAGGACATGTGAGATGCAAAAAACAGAGAGCTGCACATGCGGCTCAGTCCTTTCTACCATGTATATATGTTAGATACCTTATGTTCTTAAAAAAAAGGCTAAACTTCTAGCTATAAACATCTGATCATGTTTACTTGAATGCTTCTCTTATTCTCTGATTATGAATAAAATATACAGTATAGGACAACCTAAATGCTAAGGGTTGATCAGGCACCAGAGAGAAACTAAGCTCTAACTGATGCAGAGGCTGGGCTAGGTAATGCAAGGGTGACCATAATAATTGGAGGGAAATCTGGGATGAAGGGGGTGCCAACATGTGCAACTCCCTCCCTCCACTGCCCCCTGGCAATCCTGTGGCACCCAAGAGTGGGGCTGGGCAAGACAGTGCAGTGCACAAACAAAAATACACACGCACACAGCCCCAATCCCACAGAGCCCAAGAGAGGGGCCAGATCGTGGGACACCCACACGAACCTATGGCTCCTCCCCACAACTCTACTGTGCAAGGGACTCCGCTTGCAGCCCAGTGGGGTATAGACCAGGGAGCAGCCAACTGGCTGGGCTCTCTAGAGAAAAGCAGAAGTCCCAGATTGGAACAAATCCACCCACACATGCCTGGTTTCTGAGTCAGAAGTTAGGCATGTTCAAGTGGGTTCACACCAATCTGGGACTTTTGCTCCAATTTTCTCCAACAGGCAGGATCCTGAGACAGCCTCTAACATCCAGGACTGTTCCAAGCAATCTGGGACATATGGGCACCCAAGATAATGCCCAAATATGAAAACAGGGGCAAAGAGACTACAACTTCAATCTGTAAATGGTACTTTTCTAATATTTGCAAGTGACACAAGTACGTCAAGATTGGTAGTGACTACACTCATGCTTTTCATTCATTAGTCATTAATAAACTATGTTTATAATGGCAGTCAGCAGAATCTGATTCCGCTGTTTAATGTTTCACCCCCAATGCATCATTGTCTTTGGGGCATGGGGGAAGGGGAGGAGTTGCCTGATAGCTCACTGGTAAGTAAATGTATAGGAAACCAGTAGAATCATTCAATTTTAACTTCATTTAAAGTCTTGGGATAATACCTAAAACAAGAGGTTATGGGAGAGAAGAGGTTAACAGCAGCTTAAGTAGGTTAGTAGCAGCTTAAGCAGCAGCCCTGCAGGGTTATAAGGACTAAACCTACTGATTTAGAGTGGGAAGAATAATTCCTTCAGGCAAAGAGCAGTAAGACAGAACAATAGAGGGAAATAGGTGGAGAAAGATAGATAAAATTAAAACCAAAGTGAAAATTAAGAGCTTGGGCATGGAAGAGATTTGTGTAAACTGCATGGGGTAAACAGTCAATTGCTCAAGGGGTTAAGAGGAACCTGCACAAAAATAAAAAATGAAGCATTTGGTGTTTAGAGTAGGGATTTAGAGAAAATACAAAAGGCAGTTCATTCAGTGCCTATCGCAATCCTGAATAGACTCTCCATGCACTATTTTCATAAAATAATTAGCATGAAAGAGCTCTGGTGACTTTTTGTAATCCATCATTGTTTCCATTATTTCTTTTCAAAATTTACCATTACTGATCATAGTTCCAGTAATTAAAAAGCATCAGTTAGAATTAGGGGTGGCAGGGAAAGAAAGCAATTCAAGAGAAAGTGAAAAAAAAACCTCTCTCTCTCTCTCCACATTTAATATCCCTTCAGCATTTAGCTATTAATATTTCCTTCACCGTTCACACACAAAAACCCTGATCAAAGTACCCTGCAAGGATAACAGGCACCCAAAAACGCTCCTCACCAGTTCGAGAGGCAGAGCGTGGCTTCTGGGGGACTGTGGGTCGTCCAGTCAGGCTGGGCTTTGCTGACTGCAGCGGGGGCTTCGGGCTTGTTGGTGTATTGGAAGAACTTCGAGCCTTTGCACTGGCTTCTGCCTTCGGTTCCATTTTGATATTTTTTTCTGCTGGTGCCACAATGGAGTCACCTTTACTCAAGGCAAAACGGTTCTCTGGAAGGGTCTGCTGGAGCTTAGGCACTAGAATGAACAAAGGACTAAATAAATAAATAACATCCTACTCAAAGAGGAGGAATGCTGTTTAAGTACACTCACATGGCAAACCCCCCCCCATCAGCAAAAGCACACAGTATAAAGGCAGTAATGGGTGAACACCCACCGTTCCAAGTTCAGCATTGGTTCCAGAGGCATCCAACGATGTGGATGTTTAAATGATTGCACAGAGCATTTGGCAGCTCCCACAACTCATTCATCTACCTGAGAGGTCTTGGTGTCTCTACCATCTTGGATCTATTGCAAGTGGTGCTGAATTGGCCCTCCAGTTCAGGACTTCAGGAGCAGATGGCATGATTTGCTTGCTGGGAAACCAGGAAGGTCTCAGCAGAAGAGTTACTAATCTTTGGCTGTTTAGTGCCAGTGGGAGTAGTGTATCTATGGACCAAAGCTGAAAAATGCAGCCAGTATTTTATTTTCAGTCCTGCTGCCAAAAACAAAACCAGGGAATCCAGAACGGAGGCAAAATCCTGAACTGTCAGTGAGTAGAACTGCATGTTGTTATTATTTGGTTTTAGATCAGATTTGAAATTTATTAGAGGGCAAAGCCTTAACTGCACAATCTTCTGATGTACCAGGTAACTTTGCATATGGAACACTGTCCTGAACATTATCAAGTTTATTAAAACATTATTGATTCCAAGCAAAACCTGAACAACATTTGCACACAAATCATATTTTCTTCCAAGAACTTAAATTTAACACAGCTACAGCCAGCTGTGCAAACTGGTAAAAAATGTATTGAAAACCTGCATACAAATAACCAAAATACCTGCCCTTATTTCCTTCCTCCCAATTCCGGGAGGACTCCAGAAGGCTTATGTGGACATGTAGCTGATCTCTGGAGGGAAGCCTGCTTTGCTTTAAATGACTTGCAGAGTTTCATGCTTTGAACGTAATTCACCTAAATTTAGACAGCCTGCTTTGGCATAACTTGATGTGGATTTGGCCTAGGTAACTGCTATTCCAGTTGAGAAAACCTACTTGTTACAGTAGTGCTGAGCACAGGAATTCTAAGTGCAATGTGTGAAAATATTGGTATAGCTAATTGCAGGGAGTCTCCAAATGTCTTTCCAGGTTACATACTTAGTTTGACAGCTTTGAGTTCAGGGCTAACCAAAAAGACTGGGTGGCAGGTGAACATGTATAACACATTTTAGTATTACAAGCAAACAGAGGATGGCTTTCCCATTTCCCTCCACTACACTTTTCTGTGAAGGCAAGTGAGTGTGTGTATGTATGTACATGACAGGGAGAAGAACTGGGTACCCAAACCAAGAGAAAGGAAAACATTCTCTCTGAATCCCATCCTGCCTACCATTTTCTCAGTAATATGCCCCAATTTCCCTTTGACTCTATTTCTTGCCTTTCTAGTCTCAGGCCCGGTAACATTATTTGAATGGAGTAAGATAAAACAAATTAGCTAAAAACAATGGCAAACTGTGGTTGTAACAGGAGGGAGTGGCCAGAGGGAGCTCCTTACCTAACAGTGGTTTAAAGAAATCTGGCAGCAAGAGCCAGAATGGCTGCTGCGCTATGCTGCAGTGAGTCTGGGTAGAACATGTCACCGGCAGCAATGAGCAACAGAGAAAAACTGAGGTCAACTCCCCCTTTAACTCTTTGCGCACCCACTTTTTCTCATTCCTGTGGCCTCATATCTTATTAGGATACAGAAAATAAACAAGGAAATTCTTCCTTCTCCAAAAAGTATCAGTCTTGTGAAGCCAGGCTGACTTAAGATCATTGTTTCATGCTGTGAGCACGCTAGCTTTTAAACTGCATTTAGAAATGGTCCAAAACTGCAAATAGGTTTCCAACACAAGCAATCAGCCAGCAGCCAAATCAGAAACTGTTTTTTAAAATGGGTTTTAACTTAAGTGTCATATACTTTGACAACATTGTTATCTTATACCCTTGAAATGCCCAGTGCCACTCTTGAGGAACTGGCATTGGATTTTTAACACATGCTTTTCAGTCCAGCTGCTACCAAATGACTCCCTGTGACAGACAAATCACCATCAGGATTGGCGTGGTTTGACAATCCCAGCACAAAGTTCCAGAACTGTATAGGTGTGGAGCTTGAACTACACTTCTGTACTATCTAGGCCAAATTTAGATACATTGGCAAAGCAGTGAGGGGACCTTGAATTGACTATGTTATACCCATTCTGAGAATTAAGTACATCACTGACCAGAACTACCAACCCAGTACGGCATATGAGTACTATAAACTCTGCAAAATGATCTACTGGTTATATTTTAGCCTTGTTTTCAGTAACGGCAATCATATTCAGGGCTCTGTTTTGCCTCTGTGCCTGAAACTATCTGCCACTTTCTGATTTTCAGTGTCAGCTTTCTTGCTCCTGTTGTTAGTCAGCACTCTCTGAGAGGACTGGAGGAACAGCATGCAAAAAGACCCCCTTCCCCATCTGTTTGCCCCCAGATAACCATGAAGAGAGAAAAATTACTGGTTTTCAAGCTAGTAGTGGAATGGGCTCTCTCTGAAGTGATGTCAAATTCAGTAACAATACAAACCAGAAAACTAGCTGCCCTTTACTAATCTTTTTCAGTGATCCTAAGATTACAGAATATTACATTTTTGTTAAAAGGGAGAAAATGTGATTACATGCTACATGAGTTATATTTTATTGGCCTTAAAAAATGATCTAGATGAGGAAACCCAAACAACTTTACCTGAACTGTTGCCATCCTGTCGTTCTGCACTTGCTGTAGTATCATATGAATCCCGGGAAACTACATCATTTCCAAATTTCTAGAAGAGAGAGAAAGTCCCTAAAATCATTACTTATAAATATCAAAATTCAGATTTTTTTTTTTTTTAAATAAAGCAGCTCTTATCTAAAAATTAGAAGCTGAAGAAAGCGATACTACTACTTGTGTTGATATTTTGCAAATCTATGCAGGAAGGGAACTACACCATTTCTGGCTGCCAATAATACCCATAGCTCTGGCAGGGTCACAACAATATGCTCATTAAGTGGTAAACCTTCTAGGGAATGAAAGCTGTACTTGGAGAGTCCAGTTAGAAACCTTCCCCCCCTCATCAACCTAAGCAGTGCCAAATGAAATAAAATACTGGATGAAATGTATAAGTTTTATCTGCCCTAGGTAGAAAAATGATGCCTATTCAAAGATTCAGTTTGGAAGCACACACTGTTGAACAGGTGTCACAGTTTTACTCCAAAAGCAGGGTTGATTTAGGAGGTCTTGGTGTCATGCATAGCTATTTTCCCAAATTAGATGTACTAATGTATTGTTGATCCTACAGCTAAATTATGCTCAGTTTTAGCATTTTTATGTTTGTATGAACTATGGCATTCAGTGTGAATAGATTTTTGTGTTTTTATCCCGTGATTTCAATTATGCAATGAAGTGAATGCTCAATTAATGTCAGGAATCACTAGCTTAGACAAAGAGTATCTGTACTTCTGAGAAACAGTAGTTTACAGCAGGAAAGTTAATTTCCTAGAGTCCCTGCTTGGGATGGCTATGCATAATGACCAGCCAGGGAAGTGGCCATGTGTAGATGAGCTGAAGCTCATCTCCAAACAAATATTTACATTTCAAAGGGGAAGCCCTTAGCAGGGAGCACTCAGGAGACATATACCTAGAAGGAATCTCATACAGAGATTGATATTTTTCACCCTGTGAGTAGAATGAGAGAATTATCTCTCCTGAATAATTGACAGCCAAAGAAATATGGTTAACTGTTTATCTGTCTGAAAGGATGTAAATATTTCTACACATTTTAAATATAGTTGTAAATCAGGAGTAACATCTGACATGTCAGGCAGATGCATCTCAGGGGGAGGAAGTAATTTGCATAATACACACATGCTCCCTGAGGTCTGAATATTAAAATAAGGTATATAAGGGATGCTTTCGAGGAAGGCTCTTTGCCTAAGGGAACCCCTATGCCTCAGGGCTCATTCTTAGTGTCCCCCCCACCCAGCAGAAGCTGGGATAACCTGTTGGACATGTGCAGAAGTTACTGGCAGAAAACAAATGAAAGAGTGGGGCAGTCCCCTGATCAGAGAGAAGCACTGCTTTCTAGTAAAAAAAAACAAAGGAGGGTGAATTTTTTTCACTGAAAGGGAATTTCCTTTCTGTGCTGGAACAGCAAGGTTAGGCCTGAGGGCAAGTGGAACTAAATTGTGCTTCAATGAGAAGCTGACCCATGGGCAAGCAGCAGAACAGCTTAAAGATGCAGAGCTCAAGGGTGTCTCAACACCATTAAAACAGACTTGGTTTGTTACAATGGGTCTTAGTTTATTCAAACAGAGAGACTTGTGTGTGTGTGTGAGAGGAACAATTTTAGAAACATGACCTGGGATGCCCCAAAACATAGATGCCTTCTCATTTTTTTGG